TGGTGGTGGTGGTGGTGGTGGTGATGGTGGTGGTGGTATTAGTGGTGATGGTGATGTGGTGATGGTGATGATGGTGATGGTGGTGATGGTGATGGTGGTGATGGTGATGGTGGTGATGGTGATGGTGGTATTAGTGGTGGTGGTGATGTGGTGGTGGTGTTGGTGGTGATGGCGATGGTGACAATGGTGATGGCAATGGTGGAGACAGTGGTGTTGGTCATGATGATGGTGGTGATGGCGATGGTGGTTACAATAATGGTGGTGGTGCTCTGCTACTGCTGCTGATTGTTCTCAGTGAGGTCTGTGCAGGGCCTGGCAATAGTAACAGTCAGTTGGTGTTGGTGACGGTGATGGTGGCTGTTGAGGTGCTGCTGGTGATGGCGTAGTGATGCTAATGCTGCTGCCGTTGCTAATTCCTCTCAGAGAATTCTCGAGGGGACATTTCTTCTTCCTGTGGTAAGTAACAGAATTCTTTTCTCCCGACGGTTTCTGAGTCTTCTTCTTGGTCTCTTTTGAGTAGACATTGTTCCTGATTTTCCAGAACATCTTTACCCTCCAGGGATGAAATGTCACACTTGTAGCTTAAAAAAAAAGCCAACTATCTCATCCTTCTTTTCCTTTTCCACGATATGTTCTTTCTTTTTCTTAGAAATCTCTTGAATCTGGCTTTGGTTCCCTCTGTCCCTTGGGAACTCAGAAGCCCTTCCAACATCCCCTCTAGTCAGGAGGCACTTTGCATTTTCAGCATGAATAGAGACCACCTTTGGAGGAAATATCTCTATCAAACATAAGCACCGTGAAGCCAGAATCCTGGGTGCGCCCCCTGGAAACTGCCCCGGTGCCCATTTGCTCTTCTCCACTCACTTTCCCACTTTCCTCTAGCTCCTAATCACCCAAATCATGGTGGAGACATTTAGGACCCTCTCCTCAAAAACATGCTCACCTGAGAGATTCCCACATTCAGCAGGGGAAATCTCCCACCCCAACACACAAAGTATCACACAACCCAACGGAGAGAAATAACAAGACTCAGGAATCTTATTCTCAGTGCTTTTTCGGTGTGCTTTCTATATTAATCTTTCATGCCAACATCATCCCTCACTCTCTCTATATTTATAGAACATTTTACACACTACACTCTATGTTAGTTTGATTCCTGTACTAATACATTTGCTTTCCACAACTCTCCTGCGGGTAAGGTAAGAATTCAGTCCCTCTTCCATAGCCGGGTAAACTGAGTCTTGGGAAGGCTATGAGACTGCTCTGCAGCACGCAGAAAATTGGCAGCCTCCTGTCTCGGGCTTGCCTCTCTCCTTCCTCAGTGGTGTCAGCCCTGCTGACAGCCCCTTGGCAGCACCAGCCGCAGGGTCGTGGTCCTGCATCCCAGCATCCTAGTCTTTCCATCATTCCGGATGATGCTTTCAAGGAGTTATGAAGGATAACAGCGTGTGCTTTGAGCCACCCTCAGATGGAAACGTGGTCAGAGCAGCAAACTGCTCTTGAGCAGGAGCAAGGACACGGAAGGATGGGTGCTCACATTCCAGGAACAGGTTCCTGGGCTGAAAGGAAGGGCGGGCAGGGGAGGGAGGCCTCCCACTGTCTCTCTTCAGCTCTCCATGGCTGGGCGGACTCTAATGGAGCCCCTGGGAGCCCAGCCCTGCTGACTCGGGGTGTTCTCCGCGCCCGCCTTGGGCGGATGCGGCCCCAGCATGCTGACTGTGCCGGCGCCGCGGCCCACAGCCCCCCACACCCGCACAGTGACGCAGTTCAGGAGGCTAATGGTGTTCATTGATTCTCTCCATGAGGCCAGGGAGAGTGTCATATAACATGAAAGAACACTGGAGCCTGGTGTGGTTTGCAGGGTGTGTGTGTGTGTGTGTGTGTGTGTGTGTGTGTGTGTAGGGTGCATGCAGCCGGCAGGCTGACAAGGGCGTCTGGGAACAGTGATTTAGACGTGCACGCTTGAGTAGAACGGACATTGCATAAATTAGAATAACTGTCCTAAGTTGCATTCTCCATCCTCAGTTTTCCCCCAAATTTGTGGTTTGGTGATAGGACATAACATTCACCGTGGCATGGCAGATGCCCTCCCCCGACCCCTGGGCACATCCCTAGACAGCGGTTCTCAATCTTAGAAACAGCAAATGAATCACCCAGAAGCTTACTAAAAATGTCGGTTCCTAGCTTCCATCCCTAGAGGTCCATGGTGAGCCCAGAAATTTGCATTTTTACACGTCCCACAGTGACGCTGATGCAGCGGGCCATGGACACTCTAAGAAACACTGGCACAGCTCTTGTGGTTTGCCCCCAGGGTACCCCATATTTCTTCCTCTGTGAGACATGTCTGCAAATTCTTTCTTAGTGGAGTTTGTAAAAATTGAGAACCACCAGTGACAAAACACTTGATCAGCTCTGTTGGGGTGCCCTTGAGACATAAGATCAGGATCCAGCTCATCCCAGAAGAGACCCCTCCAGGAGACCGATGTGTGGCACTGGCCAGCACTGTTTATGACCGGGCAGCCTATATTCCCTGCACTGTGCTTGTGAAGCTTATGAAGCTTTTGAGTCTGGGCCATATGCCAGCTGGGCCATGCTTCAGGGGTCCTCCAGATTGGGACCTCCCACCCCCACTTCCCTCCAGGCCTGTGGGAGTGGTTGACGGTGCAGGGACAGGGGTGCCCGAGTAGACAGTGTCCATGAACAGGGAGGCCCATGGGGAGAACTTACGGCTGGGTCCGCGGATCTTGATGGGCTTACTGCTGGCCATGGACTGGGAGCACGTCTGGCACACGCATTCTTTACCGCTGAAGGTCACCTTGTCTCCGATGGGGAAAGGCTTCCTGCAAGGGGTTCGAGGGAGAAATTCTACACCTCCTCTTCTGAGGGATTCTGCAGCTATTGGTGACCTGATAACACATGAGCTCAAAGCTCGTGGGTAGCACATAGAGCTTGACTTCTAGAGCACCAGGCAAATACAAACACCGTTCACAGTGCCGGGCAGACTAAACCACTCAAGTAGGGGCTCAGAGGCGAGAGCTTGAGCCTGGTTGGCCGTTTGTATGATTTTGACACCGGGCAAATCATGATGCTTATCTGAGCTTAATTTCTCAGCTGTTAAGAGGAAGAGGTTACTAACGCCTCATGGAGTAGTTCTCTCTTCCTGGAAGGATTTTTACATCCCAATTTAACCTATCCCCATATGTCAAGAACTCATTCAGGCCAGATGTGGTGGCTCACACCTGTAATCCTGGCAGTCTGGGAGGCTGAGGCGGGGAGATCGCTTGAGCCCTGGAGTTTGAGGTTGCAGTGAGCTAGGCTCATGACGTGGCACTCTACCCTGGGTGACAGAGCAAGACTCTGTCTCACAAAACCAAAAACAAACCAAAAAAACCCACCTCATTCAGCTCCCAAACTTACCAAAATTTCTTCTGTTTACTATTCAGACATTTCTCAAAATCCCCCTTCCTAAAAGGAAGTTTGTCAGTCCATAAAGAACCTCTTCCTCTGCCCCTCCGGATCTGTTTGGTTTCCACGGCCCAGGGCTCTCAAGCTCGTAATGCTCTGTCTCCCCGGCCAAACTGTGCACAGAATGCCAGCACTGCCAATCCCACTGTTGAGCAGCTCTTGCTCATGCAGGGTGGGACGCCTGCTCTGTGGACTCCGAGCATGCCCCTAACATCGGCTGCCTGTGGCTCCACTGCCCTTGCACGAGCGATGTGGGACAAGGGAGCTATGTCCTCATGGCCCAGTCACTAACTTGTGGTAAAAAGTCATGACCTCAGGGAGTCACCTCATCTCTATGGGGCTTGACAACAAACTCACCTCATCCCATACAGACCCTCTGTGCTGACCTCTGATGGGTCTGGGATTCCAGGACCCAGGGCTTAGGTTTTCAGAGATGGGCGAATGAATGAATTCCACGGGGAGATTCTCTTTTCTTGCACACTTTGTCATTAGTCTCAATCAGAAACTCTAATTAGTTACTCCAACTAGTAACTAACCAGTGGCTATTTTATGGAGAGAATAATTAATCTATAAATTCTTTTACAAATTAAAAATATACATATACTCTAATCATGCTTTACTTATGATTTAATCTGAGCTGTCCATTAAATTTTAATGTATTTGTGGGCAGGGCTGAGGTTTTCTTCATTTTGTTCATCTCCTTAATGTGGTGCTTGGCATATATACAGTGGAGTCTTAATGTACATTTGCTAAATTAACAAGTGATTGAGATGCCGGAGGGGGGAGGAAGGAGGTAGGGAGGACAGCTCCATCCCTGGAGATGTCCTGAGAGAGATTAGATGATTATCATTACGATAATGAAAAGAATAATAAAAACAGACACACTTACATACTGGTCACTGAGCTAAGGTCTTTGCATGCATCATCTCGTTGATCTTCAAGAAAACCCAAAAAGATTGGAATGGTTTTGACCCCCGTTTTACTGAAGGAGAAAATGAAGCTTACAGAGCTGGGACTTTGCCAGGGTCACTCTGCCAGCATGAGGTGGCACCAGGTGGATGGAGGGAGGCTATGAACAGACATCCCTGTACCACCTGTACATGAGGATGTGGGAGGCCAGGCCAGGTGTGTGGTTTGCAAACTAAGTTCTGAGAGACTAGGGTACTCAGTGGTTCCTTTGGAGGCCTTTTGAGGGCGATTGGGAGGCTGAGTTTGGGGGGTTCAGATCCTTATCCTGTCTTTATCACAGGACCAACTAGTGTTTTGCAACAGATAGCATTTTTCAAAAAAGATTCAGCTGCTAAAAGGTTTGAAAACCACTGGCCTTTCAGATCCTTCTACCTCTCTGAGATTCTAGAAATCTAAGTGTCCGGTGTACGTAAGCCCTGTAAACCCCAGAGCTGCCTGGGAAAGGCCATGTCTTCCCCTTCTCTAGGGGATCATGCAGAGGGTTCTGGCCCCTGCTGGCCACCTGCTCACCTGCACAAGCTGCACACGAAACATTTGGGGTGGTAGGTACGGCCCAGGGCGGAGATGACCTCGCCTGTGATGAAGTCCCGGCAGCTGTCACAGCGGGTGCCGTAGAGTTGCTGGTAGTCCTGGGTGCAGATGTACTCCTGGTTCTTGAAGAAGAAGCCTGACTGGGCCAGGCCACAGCCACACACTTGGGGAAACAAGGGGGGGAAAACAAAGGCAAGTTGAGTCCAGGGAGGGTCTGTAAGCACAAGGTTCTCGCTGGGGGACGGGCTGGTGTCTGACTTTGTCAGGAGTGGCCAGGTGGCATATCAGACCTCACAGGCCTTTGGGGCTAGTATTCCCTAGAGTATGGCCTGTAGTCCATTTGAGTCAGAATCACCTGGGGAGCTCCTTAAGATGCAGATGCTTGGGCCTGAATCAGACTCCCTGGGCCTGGGGCTCAGGCCTCTGCATTTGAACACACTTCCCAGGCTGACTCTGATGCACACTGACTGAGAACCACGGATGCTGTGCCATCCTCTCAATACACGAGTGAAAAGTTTAATGCCATGTGGTTCACACGACGCTGCACAGCTGGTGGAATCGTGAATGTAATAATAGAATCATTCAGTTAAACATTTCCTGGGTTCTTCCTGTGTGCATGACTCTGCCAGGTGAAGAATGGTGTGGGGACCATATGCTCCAAATCCCAACCTGGAACAGCTTAGGATGGCAATGGGATGGATGACGTGAAGTCTAGAATCTGTGCTTGCTATGGCCACAATGGGTGAGTCTGTTCCCAGACACGAATGATAAAATCCGATCCCTGAACTTTGAAGAGTTAAAATTGCATGCAGAGAGAAGACCATACGGAGGTCATGGGTGATGGGCCCGTGGGCGGGTGCAGGCAGTGAGGGCTGTAAGTGGGGGGGCAGGGAGAGAAGGAAGCCCCGCTATCAGAAAGGATCAATGGTGGGGAAACCAGCAAGATAGTTCCAAGCCTGTAAGTCTGAGGAGCCAGCCTGGAACTGGGTGACACCACCCCATCTTTGAAGGGAAAGTTGTTCTGCCAAAGCAGCCAGGTTAAAAATAGAAGAGACTTCCAGGTGATTGCCAGAAATATTTTGCAAGTGTGTTTGTTCACCTTTGTGGGCCGGCCAGAGGCTTAAAGGGCCAGACTGAGCAAGGAGGAGGCGGTTCCAGAAGTCGCAACACTGGGGAAAACAGTGTGGGACAGTGGGAGACACAGTGGTCTGGGAATTGGACCGCCTGGGCTCTGGTCTCATCACTGCCACTAAGTCTCTGGATCATGGTGACCTTGGCTCCCTCTTCTCTGGGGCCTCCGTTCACTTATATGCAAAATGAAGAGGCTGAGCTTCTAGAGCTGGCATGCCGTGAGTCTAGAAGAAGAGCTTCCTTTAAGGTTTACTTTATGCCTAAACATTTTAAACTCAGTGTGAGGTATTGCTTGTGGCCCCTGAAGCCACCCCAGAAAAAGATGGTGGAGGAGGGCATGGTAGCTGGGGAAGGGTTCATCTTCCATCAGCATCATGAAAATTCCCATCAAACAATGCCCGGTCTCGAGAGCAGCACAGCCCGAGCACAGGCTATTCTGGGGTGCGCAGGTGGTGGAGCAGTTGACTTCATGGCTGCAGAATCAGTTTGGTCACGGCCTATGACCTCATTGGACACAGCTCCTGTTTTTTCCCTTCTTTTCTCTGCTTTGTCTCCCCTGCCAACTCCACCCCCAGAGTCACCTCACCCAGCGGACAAATCTAGGAGGCCATATGAAAACTTGGAACAATGAGTTCCTCCCTTTCCCCCAAGGAGTTACAGGAGGAAGTTTTTGGTAGAAAGGACGTAAATGTTGACAAGACTCTCGGGGGTTCCTGGAAATACAGTGGGGAGCACAGGGATGGAGGGCAGGCGGGACCAGCACGGCAGATGTGTCCGAGGCTGAGCAGAGCCAGATGTTCAAGTAACAGGAAAGGCTACGGAGAGGGTTTGCAGTATGGAACTGATGTGGCACTAGCACACCCGGGGCAGTCATTGTTCTGTGAATCGAACGAATAAAATCTATCAATTAAAAAAAAAAAAGCAGATCATATAGTTTGAAAATGGGACAGAATATGCAAAGTTAGATCCGTTTTGAGCAAATCTGGAATGAACGCGTGCTGTAAATAGAATGCCTGGAAGGAGGCCTCGCACGCAGCCCTGGCACGCGTCAGTGGAAAATGTACTGTTTCGCAGGCTGCCGGACCTTTGTCCACGGTCCTATTCTACCACTCAGGGGCTGGGTGACTTTGCAAAGGTTACCTCACCTCTCTGGAGCTCATTTGTAAAACGAGGGGGTTAGGGGGTTCACTGAGGACACATCCTGAAAGTCCTGGATTCTGTCATATAATTCTGTTGATTTTCAACTTTTCAAATGAGACTGGAGTTTATGAAATTTCAAAGTCAAAGAGTCAGAGGGGCCCCCGAGGGTGATCTAATTCATTATTTAAAATGCTTTAATTGTGAAATATATTATACATAGAGAAATACAAAAAATACATATAGACAGCTTAAAGAAGAATAATAAAATACGGTCCCATGTACCCATGACCAGGTTTGTGAAACAGGACATTACCAGCTCCTTAGAAGTCCTTTGTCTCTCCTTAAGAGCACCCCCCTTTCCACACTGCCCCTGATTTTGTGTGTATCATTCCCTTACTTTTCTTTCTGGTTTTATTGCCTATGATGCATCCATAAACAACATATGGTTCAGTTTGGCCTGGTTTTGAACTTTGCATTGATGGAATCATACTGCATTTACTCTGCACTTGCTTCCTTCTCTTGCTATTATCTTTCTGAGATTCACCCATGTCGATGCCTGTAACTGTGTTTCATTGATTTTCACTGCTATGTTGTATTCTATTGCCTGGCTACGTCACCGCTGATCTATTCCACTGTCGAAGGACATTTGAGCGGTCTGTAGTTTTTTTCTTTTATGAAAACGCTGCTATGAACACTCTTGTGTTTGCGCAGTAACGCCTCACTGTTTTCCAAAGAGTTGTTCCTGTTTATATTCCCACCAGCAGTCCCTGCTGACCCGTATCACCAACAATACTTGTAACACCTGACATGTTTAGCCAACACGATGGATGTGAAATATCTTTTTGTGGTTTTAAACTTCATTTCCCTGATTTTCAATGAAATTGAGAATCTTTCCAAATGTATAGGTCACTTGTATTTTCTCTATTGTAAAATGCTTGCTGATGCTTTTTGCCCATTTTTCTGTTTTTCTTTTAGACTTGTAGAAATTCTTTATATATTTTGGAAAATTAATTTCTTTTCATTATTTATTATAAATATTTTCTGCAGTTTGGGGCTTGCTTTTTACTCCCCTTGTGGTGTTTTCTGATGAACTCAATTTCTCAGTTTTTATGTTGTTGAATTTATCAATATGTTCCTCTGCGATTTGCACTTTCTGTGTCATGTTTCAGAAATTCTTCCCTGCCTGAAATCCTAAAAAGATATCTCCTATATTGTCTTATAAAATTTTATGTGTTGACTTTCATATCAAAGCTGTTAATCCACCTAGAGTTGATTTGACGGAATGGTACACAGGAGGGATCCAATTTTCTCCCACATGGATAATTAATCGTATCAGTGACTTATCAAGCAGTCTAATCTTTCCCCACTGATCTGCAAAAAATAGTTTCCATACATGTGAAGGTTTGTTTTTGGTTCTATCTTCAGTTCCAGTGGTCTATTTATTGATCCTTAATACAACCATATTGTCCTGATAGCTTGTAATAAGAAGTGATGATATCTGGTAGGACAGGATTCCTTGCTTTTTTGTCGTTCTTTAGGAACGCTTTGATTATTCCTGGCCTTTTGCCAAGAATTCAATTTTAATTGATTTCTTAATTTCTATGGAAAATCTTACGGAATTTATTAGAATTGCCTTGAATCTATAGTTCCACTAGGGTATAACTGTCACCGTTTCGATATTTGTATCTTTCTATCAGAGAACTTAGTATATTTTTTTACTTACTTAGGTCTTACATATTTTTCTTATGACGTTTTATAAATGTAAACATTTTATAATTTTTATCATAAGGGCTTATATAACTTCATGAGATTTATTCCTAAATTGAACATTTTTTTCTTGCTAAGGTAAATGGTCTCTTGTTAATGGTGAATAGAAATGTATTTTTTCTATATTTTTTCTGTATCTAGTAACCTTGATAAACTCTCTTAATTGATTTTCTTTTTAGTACTAATATTTCAGAATGTATTGCTAAAATATTAGGACTTTTTGGAAAAATTAATCACAATAACCTAAAACTGTTGAAAGTAATGCCTACTAAGGTATCATCTAGTCAGTGTGTCCAAATTTTCTCAATTATCCCATCCTTTTTTCTTTTAATTTTCTTTTTAGTGATTGATTGTTTGAATCAGAATCTCTCAAGGTCCACGCATTGCATTCGGTTGATATGCCTCTTAAGTCTCTTCCTTAGATAGAAACTTTCCCTCCTCAGCCCTTTGCTTACATTTAAGAACGGTACAGTTTGTACCAGAGACAGGTTAAAGGTTTGATTCTTTACCTATATTACTTGTTTCAGAATAATTATTTCACTAGCATTATCTAAAAGTGATCAATGAGTTATTTTCCCTCCTTATTATTATAAACTAATTTTCTTATTAATATTACTAGATTATTTATAGATTCTGTTGGGTTTTCTATGCATACAATTATGTCATCTCAAAATGATTGCAAATTTATTTTTTCCTTTCCAGACCATATAAGTTTTATTTCATACCTTACTGCATTGGTGAGGACCTCCAGGCCAATGTTGAATAGAAGTTGTGACAATGAGCATCCTTATCTTGTTCCTAATCTTAAAGGGAATTCTTTCAACATTTTACCATTAAAAATGTTTGCTTTATATTTTTTGGTAGACATCATTTATCAGTTATTACAGCTTTCTTCAATTCCTCCTAGTTTTAAAAATAAATAAGTATAAATAGGTGTTAAATTTTGAATTTCTTTTAGCACTTTTTCTGCTCTATTAAAATAATCACTTTTTATTCTTTGATATCTTTATAATGAAATATATTACCCAGTTTTCTAATATTAAGCCAATTTTGCACTCCTGGAATAAACTCAACCTGTTCAGTTATGTTATCTTTTTCATACTTCATACTTTTCTGGGCTTGGTTTGCTAATATTTTGTCTAGGATTTTTAAATGTACATTCAAGAATGATATTGACATATGATTATATGCAACCATTACCACTATCTAATTCCTGAACATTTTCATCACCTCCAAAACAAACCAGAAATCCATTAGAAATCACTCCTCATCTTCCTCCAAACCCCCTAGCCCTAGGTAATCACTAATCTGCTTTTTGTCTCTCTATATTTGCCTATTCTGAACATTTCATATATATGGAGTCACACAATATGTAGCCTTTTGTGATTGTTTTTTTTCCTACATGTTTTCAAGGTTCATTCACATTGGAGCATTTATTAGTATTTCATTTATTTTTATTGCTGAATATTATCCCACTGTAGGAATATACCACATTTTATTCATTCATTGGTTGATGGATAATTGAATTTTTTCCACTTTCTGTCTATTATGAATAATGCTACTATGAACATTCATGTATACATTTCTGTGTGAATATATGTTCTCATTTCTCTTGAATATATAACTAGGAATGGAAATTGGAATTGTTGGATTATATAATAATTCTATATTTAACATTTTCAGGAACTGCCAGACTGTTCTTCAAAGTTGCTGTACCATTTTACATTTCCACGAGCAATGTGTAAGGGTTCTGGTGTCTCCATATCCTTGTCAACATGTGTATTATCTGTCTTTCTG